CAGGAGGATTTTTGCGGTTTGCTGTTGAAGATGCCCTTAAACTAACAAGAACATCTACACAACAAAAACATAATTTTAAAATATTATTTATTATTTAGTTTGAATTTACTATTCACCCAAGAGCACATGCACCCCAGAGCTAAAACGGCCATCCCACATTCGTGCTTTTTTTCTACTACTTTCATTCCCAAATAGACGACATATAAATTTAGTCAGAAAGTCAATGATCTTTAAGTTTGACCAAGTATATATACAAAAATATTAAGATACACATTATCAAATTAATATTAATATGTCCATCATTAGATATATTTTCATAATGAGCAGTGCTAGACGTACGATGAATACTTGTACGACTTTGTACGACACTGCTCAGTCACCCTCCGATCAAATCTCTGCATCAGCGGCAACCGTGGGATCACTGGATCAGACTGGATCGTACATTTAAAGTCGTACGCAGAGCAATTTCGTTTTCATAATCTATTTATTCAATGTTATAATTGCTGATACTTTCTTCTACATATTTGGTCAAACTAAAAAAATGACTTTTTGACTAGATTTATACGTCATGTATTTGAAGACGGAAGGAGTAGTTGATGTGATGTGCTGTGCATGTACTTTTTTAGGTTTGTCCTCCTTTCCTAGTTCGCTGGAAAATGCCCGCGTATTAGTACGGCTGTCCGAAATCCCCAAACCGAAAGCATATAATGGGGTTGTAGGAGAGTCCGGACATCTTCATGACAAATCAATAGTCACCTTGTATCTTCTCTCCGTCCAGATGGCAGAATGCCGCTGCTAAAAAATGGTGGAAGGTGCTAGTTTTTTCAAGTGCACTACGGCGGGACGCTCCAAGGCTCCAAGCATTTGGCGGAAGCACTATTGTTTCAAAACGAAAATTCTTCAAGTGCTACACTTAAGTGCCTACACTAGTCCGTGCGATAATTTTTTTAATACATACACGCATGTTTGGCGGAAGGCACTAGCGACCGAGTGCCAACTATTTGGCAAAAAGTTGTTGGCATGGAAATTTAAGGTATAGGGTTGGATGACTGACTCCAGTATTGTGTCCACAGACCGAACACAGTCCATGGACGGATAGTGTGTCCGTTTTAAGGATAGCCGAAATTGCAAGTTATCAACTAGAGAGGGGTGAACGAGAGATTGTAACAAATTCTTTTTGAAGTGAATTCTTAAAACAATAATAATTCGAGAAATTACTCAGCGAAAGGTAAACTGGGCTAAGTATGCAAGCTAGAATGATGACAAAGTCACTAGAATAGAACTAAGCATGCATACAAGCGGAATAATCCTACAGGGGGTCATCCTCCTTTTCTAAAAAAAATCCTACATATAAACAGACGCACTTGAGAACAGTGAAACAGAAGATACAACAAAGCATTGACGAAATATGAAAGTATTCGGAGAGAGGGAGACAAAGTCTTCAACATGGTGTTACAGAAAGTAAAGGGTTGAATAACTGAACCGGGACTGCTCGGTGAAGACAGAGATTTCGTTCGAC